GGTGTGACTTTGTGGCACAAAGTCGTTTCGTTAACCTGAAAACGTCGTGGTCAGTTCAACTCTCCACATGAAAGCCAACGTCATGTAATGCTTATCTTCCATAGTGAATGCGGACCACATCGAATACTATGAGGAGGTTGCTAATTACTGTTCTATCCATAGATTCAAGTTACACCTGTTTGCTGCAAAAAAGCCAGAAATGTTATGAAGATTATGTACTGAATCTGCAAATGGGGGGTAGCTCCACCTCGTGCACTTAACCGAGTAAACATGTATTGAGGCAGGCGTTTTTAGACACATGATGGTGGCTAACTTAATGCGTAACTGGCATAAAATGCACAATGCACTGCCATCAGAACTACGATTTAAGGTACCATTTATTGAATCGAAGCCACCGGAGGATGTGACACCATCTGTGGCTCAATGTGATAAAATAAACGGAGCCGAAGACACTGCATTAAGATTATCAACAACTGAAAACGACGCTATTGAAGAGCGTTCTGCGTGTGCAGGAACGACGTTAGGTGGGCTGCAGGCCCGTGCAAAATGTTCATCGATAAACTGCGCAAAAAACGATCAGGTGCCGGCCTTTCATCGGCCGGCTTAAATCCAACTTCGTGTAATCCTCCACAAGCTCTTTTGGTGCTCAAGCAGCTGTCCTGTATGTACACTAACGCTCAAACTTTACTTAACAAACTACCCGAACTGCGACTACGTCAAAGGTCCAAATCGTGTGACCTCGTCGCTATAACGGGGACGTGGTTGCGCCCGGATATCACAGACACGGAGGTCGAGCTACCAGGCATGTCCGTCGTTCGGCGCGATCGATCCAGTAAGGGGGGCGGGGTGGCTCTGTACTACCGCAGTGACCTCCAATGTGAGCCCATAGAAGACGTGTACAGTAACGTGCAGGATACTCTTTGGTGTCGGCTGCGTTTAACAGGCAACGACGTCTGTCTGGTGGCGGTCGTTTATCGACCTCCATCCTCTACACCCGAGATGGACTTCAATCTCGCGTCTGCGCTGAGGCTTGTGATCAGCAGGAGATACAGCCATATTCTTATCGCTGGTGACTTCAATATCCACGCTCTGGATGTCCAAGCAACACCTATGGAACAGTTCAAAGCGGATCTACAAGACCTTGTCTCCAGTTTTCCGCTTTATGGCCATATCGACAATCCCACCAGATTCAGAGCAGCAGAAAGTCCGTCTATCCTGGACCGGACGTGGTCTACCTAGATTTCTCAAAGGCCTTCGATCGACTAGACCACGGAATCCTGATCTGCAAACTTCAGAGCTTCGGCATTGGTGATCCGCTCCTAGGATGGATCACAAGCTTTCTTCTCCACCGGAGCTTAGAGGTAAAAGTGCGTGGGTCCCGGTCCCATCCAATCCAAGTCGAATGTGGTGTACCACAAGGATCGGTACTGGGGCCACGATTGTTTTTGATGTATATTGACGACATAGCGGCCCTCATTCTTTCCAACTGCCTACTCTATGCCGACGACATCAAGGTCTGGAGAGCGATCAATACACCCGACGACTCCGCAATACTTCAAGAGGATCTGGATAAGGTGTATGCGTGGTCAGTTCAGAACCAACTTCCATTCAACACAGAAAAATGCAGAGTATTACACTTACGTCACCAATCAGCATTTTTCTATAAACTGGGTGACCATGTGCTTCACACAACTGCTGAGGAAAAGGATTTAGGAGTCTTGATTCAGTCCGACCTTGGTTGTTCAGCCCAGGCAAAGAAAGCATCGAACGTGAGCATTCGAAATTTGGGCCTTCTCAGGCGCACATTTGGACGCTTCGATCCATCCGTTTTTCACCAACTTCTAGGTGCATACATACGACCACACGTGGAGTATGCAATACAACTCTGGCAGCCGTGGCTGAAGAAAGACCTCTCTGATTTAGAGAAACCTCAACGACGCGCAACGAAGAACGTGAAAGGTTTAGGCCAGTTACGCTACGAAGACAGACTGAGATCGCTCAGGATATTTAGTGGTCAATATCGAAGACTACGGGGAGATTTGATTTTGGCTTATCAGATTCTGACAGACCCCAATCATACCTGCCGCCATCTGCTGGAGCTCAGTAACAACAACAACCTGAGAGGCCATCGTCTGAAGCTGGCAGTGCAGTACAGCCGTTTGGAATGTCGACGGAATTTCTTTTCCGTGCGTGTTTGCCAAGCCTGGAATGCTCTCCCAGAATCTGTAGTCAGTGCACCCAACCTGATCGAGTTCAAAAATCGAGTTGATAATGCCCTCACTTCATTGCACTATCTCCCATAGTACAGTCTAATTTTGAGAGATCCAAAATCCATACTTTAAAAATAATTTTCCCCCACGCAAATTTCAACAGTGGATTTATATTTTGACGCTTCAAACTCAAACACTTTGCCCCATGCGAATTTCAAGGGGCAGTGACTCTTTTAACCAAATACTCCATGCCTCATGATTCCCTCCGAGTTATAGTGGATTATTATTTTGACACTTCAAACTCGGTGAGTCCACAAGCTTGTAGTGACTCGTTGTTAAACGATTTTACTGAATTGGTTTCCATTGAATTTTCCACACTTCTATGATTTTCGCACTGATCACCCTACGGGATTTGTCAAGCTTTAGCTTTTATACCCGCATAAATCCATTGTTCCATTGTTCCCTTGATTGTTTAATTTTGTTATATAGATGTATCAGATGTGCCAGAAATGTTCCAAGGCTGGCGTCACAAAAGATTTATTACAAATCCCAGCATCGCACGGTTTTCCCCAGCAAAGTGAACCACCTGGAGTCTAACGCATTTTCCTAAGCTTCTCTGTCACTCTTGTATGCACACTCGGAAGGATTCTTCCTAAAGTCTTTGCAACTCCGTCATCACGGGAACTATTGGATGCTCAGGGTATTGTGAGCAGGCACGTTTTCATGGTGAAGCAGCCACAAGTTGTCCTACCACGGTTCTAGCCCGTACTCGCTCACATAACGAAGTGAACTCTGTAGTCTCTTCTTGTAGACATGCTGGTTGTTCATCTGGCCCCATGGTAAGAACTCGCAGTGGACGGACCAGCAGGTCAAAGAGCGCGATCAACACGGCTAAATTTTGACTTAAGGTGTCGTGCTTACTTCAGCCTTGCCGATGCCGGACTCTTCAGATGCATGGGATTGTGCTTTGTTTCTGTGTCGTGAAGAAGTTCGACGTGTTGAAGCGGTCTCTTACTCACTCGGCCTGGCTCCGTTGACATTTTCCACTTCTCAAGCTCATGGGGCTTATTGAGGTGATCTGTTTTGAAGATGTGGATGATATCAGGAGAGGCAGTGAGGACAACTGCGGCGAATCCAGGAGGAATCTTTCCAAGAACAATGGAACAATGGTTTTCTACGGATAAAAAAGCTAATGCTGATCAGATCCCGTAGAATTTTTATGGTGGACCTACAAACTATAAAATTTGTTAGCAAATTTGGGTTTGCACCGGTGGACTCACGGAAGTATACGTAGTATAAACTTTAAATCCAAGGTAAATCCCTAGGAAGTGACGCCAAATGGGATGTTGGTAAAAATGGTATCTCCTCCTGGTGTACACATACAAGAGTGCAAGTATGCATGGTAGGAAATTTCTTCAGACAACAGGTACCTCCATTTAAAGCGGAAAATTCTGTGCGGAGCTTGGGTTTGAAACAAATGTTTTTTTTTGACACTAGTTTCTGTAACACGTCAAACGCTGTTGATTTGTGCCACAGGACGAGCAGTTCGGTTCCGCTCTATCCTTTTCTGACGGGGATGAAATCTCCGGTGTCAAACCTTAATAGGCTTTACCAGTAAACGCTAAGCAGCAGGCACATCCGGAGAGAAGGGCTGTGTGACACTAGGCGGGTGTTTCGTTACAGTTTAAACGGTTGTATCATCACGTTGTTGCTCTCAAATACGCTTTATTGCCTTCTGCGAAGTATGTTAGAAGGTGAGAAGGATCCTTGCCATGCCTTTGGTGGAATAGTTGTGGCAGTAACGCTGCCCGTCTACACGCTAACCTGGGATATTTCATACGACGACAATCAACTTAGCTGACTGGTTCCTTTCTGAGTTGCAGTTAGTCAGACTGGTTAGTATAAAAGACAGCGAAAGCCACGAGTGAGTTATCTCTCCATTACCGACTTATCTTCGCATGATAGTCAGCCGTTTGTGTCCCGCCTTTTTGACAAAATGTGGGTGCCTTGATCTTGATTATCCATTTTGGGCATTTGGAGTTTACTCTGGGTCCCACCCTCCACCAGTTTAATAAACCAGTTTCCAGCTTAGAGGGGCTGCATGGTGGCGGAGTATTATTTTAGATTACTGATGTATTTCAGATCTTAATAGCGATGATTGAAAAGTAAGTAGTCTCAACCGCTTTTTCAGTGCGCATTAAAAGTGCCACCTCGAAGGGTGAAGCAACATCTCCAACCGAATAGTTGGTCTAGGTAACAAATCAACCTTTAACAGCTAATGTTAGTCGTCATTATTTCGAATAGCCATTTACCCTCACTGCGTTTATTAACTTCGCCTCATGGACTAGATAAAATCCGCGCATAGTATCCTGAGTGAGGTGTCCTCGAACATAAGCATATGCCGCAGGTTGCGCCACCGTTTCCCCTTTACTAAAAATTTCAGTAGTGAAAAAGAAAGAAACACCCACCCTGCGCCATTTGGAATGTGCGATGGATATCTGACGGAGTTTAGATTGGCGCATGTCATCATACATTGTTCATATTTCTAAAACACCACTATATATATATATATATTTAACCATGCTAGAACTAAAGTTCAGAAGAGACCCATCGGCCCAGCTTACTATATTGATTATTTCTGTACAGGACCTTTTGAGAAAGAAGCAGGCTCAGTGTTAGCTGGGGTGAGATGTCTTTTGAGTTCTGAATGTTACCTAATATTGGAAAGTTTTAAATTACAAATCGGCTTCGTAAATGCTTGTATTACAGCTGGAATGTACAGAATCTTACTTCCATATAAATGGAAAACTGGTGCTCGGTTGTCATCTCCTCAGGAATAGGCAACCACGGAAATGTGCAGGAGGTCAATTGATTTGAGTCTGTGAATATCCTCCTTTCCTCAGCATAGACATCGGCCATGAATGGTATGTCGGAGAGAAAAGCTGAAAGGGAGAAAGGAAAGTGTGGTGGCAAATGTAGGTTTAAGGAGCTAAGATGAACGGATGGTTTGTGTAAACACGACTAATCATGTATTCCCAATGCTTCGGTTGTTACTGTAAGCTAGCAATCACGATAGCCTGGGCATGTGCAGCCGGCGAGCGAATGGTCCAAGTGGGCATCGACAAAGTGAACTCACAGAAGGCGGCGAAGGAAGCCGAACGGAACCAGAGAAATGAACTCTGGTAGGCGGTGAATTTATGAACACAAAAGCAATAGCAAACCGCGTTAACGACTAAGCTTAACAAATGTATTTTATGGTGCTTAAGTCAGCAGATGTTGACAGGGGCAAATCAATTGCTCAACTTCTGAAGCGTTACCCATTACAAGATCCTACTGTTGTCCCAATATTCCCCGTGTCATATGTCCAATCGATAGTTTGCAACACGAAATTTAAAACTGATTCGCATTCCACCCAAAGGTAAAGTTTGCCTTAGATATTTTTACGCTTAACTCGTAAGAATGTGCCTACAATAGTGTAACCTATTTTCCTAAACCCAGAGTGTACTGACCAGAGAGAGAATTCCTATCTTTTTGTACGCCGTACCCTCGCATAATTTATTCCCGTTTAATGTCCATCCACCCTACATCCACATCCGTTTGCATTCATTATCCCTTGTCTCTGTGAGCTGTTTCCGCCCGCCTCATCCGTCCACTTCCTATCGTAGACCTTATGAATGTAGTACGCAACGCTCAACCTTATTCTGCTTGTGGTATGGACTCTGGACTGCATGCCCATATCAGTAGTGGTATTCAATTTTTCCATACAACTTTGACATCGCCTCATATACACGAATGTGGTAGTTGTCATTGTTATGTACTTGTTAGTGTGTTCATTTCTTTTCTTGGCTTTCCATTTGCATGCTTTGGCGTTTCGCATAATCTCTACTAGTGTTTGCTACGACTATTTGCTTGGAGGTTTGGGCCATGAGCATCACACTCACTAAACCAAAGTCGTTTCGTACTGTAAGCTTATTGACTATGGACGTTCAAGCATATACGGAGCGCTGCTCAGTTCTGCCTGCTAGACTCAAGATGAAGTTGTAAAACACAGGCATTCCAACCGATCCATTGAGATACGATCGCCTGTATCAAGCTTCCGATGTCTGTGATGGCACGGCTTTGGACATCAAGACTTGCATACCGCTGTAATGGAAGAAAGAAACGGTGATAAGGGTAGTAGTAAAGAAGCCAAAGCCAAATGAACGTGCTGTAATCTAAAAGCCTAAGGGTATCAAGCTGAGAAATTACAAGCCTTCAACAGTTCTCCGAGGAATTCAGTGCCTCTTATTTTTGAGAGAATCCGTCGCACAGAGGCTATGATATGCACTTTTCCCAGAGCCGTTGCTGATGACGCAATGAATGCACTGAAGCTGAAAATGCCGCAGCTGCTCGGTGATCACACTTTCCTCTCTATTCGTTAATACCCGTTGTTGTTTACGCCGTATACGTTCCGTTCTATGCGGAAGCCAAACGTTTCATCGGCCGCTCTCAGTCTACTTGGTCAAGTCTCATAGTCGAATAATGGAGAAGCACGCATGCAGCACATCCACTAAATATTACCTGCCTCCATTCACTAGGCACAGCTCAACAGCAAAAAGATACGAATAGCCATAGGTTGGACAACGCGTTCGGCATGGACAAAACAGACCGGCTGTTTTAAGTCAAAGAGTAACGTTTTTGTATCGCTTTCTTTAGGAGCATGGTTACAAGCTAATTACTGAAACCAATTTAAAAAATATTGCCACAGACCAACTGGCGAGAAAAATAGGTGCTGGACTCAAGTGAGTCAGATGTTGGAACGGGCTGCATGGCTGTATTGCATATCTCTGTACCTAAAACGACAGATCCAAAGATAACTTAATATGGTATTGGTATATTTACCCTCTAGCAACATTAGTATGATGACAGCACACTTGCATATAACGGCGGCCATTAAAAGAGTCCATATTATGACGGATTACTTGCTTATAACAGCAGCCATAAAAGAAGTCAACATGATGAGGGCATACGCGCTTTTAGGCCGCATCAGCATATGGACAGATAAAGCGTGGAAATGCGGGTGAAACCTCTCGATGGACTACACCGCATGGAAGTGGATCCTAAGGAGACGGTTCCTCGCATAGTCACATTAATTTATTGAAACTGTTGGCTATACATACATTTATTTCAAAGCTTTACTTTTTGTCTTTTATAATGTTTAATTGATAGAATGCCCCAAAAACTCCTCTAGAAACTATCCGATTGTGATGCATAGAATTAGAAGACTACTTATTTGATATGTGTCGCGCAATAGCGAGAAATATACCATTTATTTATTTATAGATGTGAGCGTCATCCCTGTTAACTGACATGATAAGAAGTCAGCCTACCGGCCAGTTCATACGCACAGTGTGTGACAAACACAAACCCGAGTCTCCCTGGAGAATTTTGATGGGTATTCCTAATTGCTGCTTACCGTTCCCAGTCACAGGTAGCGACCTACTTCACCACCCTGAGTTGCTTGTTCCTACGAAATGCCAAATATCTCTAAATAAAGATACCAAGTTTAAGGAATAAGGCCGCTACCTCAGATGGCCCGATTTGCTCTACTTACGGCCGATGGTCTGATAAACTTTGTGAGCTAGAACTCAGAATTCTCATGGCTCGTGCAACCAAACTGTGAACATTACCCAGTCAAAACACGAGTAGCCGATCACGTAGACATCCGTAGTTTACACCTTGAGTACTTGGTCGAGACCCTACGCTCCAGTTATGCGGCGTTCCTTAGGGTTGTCAATTGAACACCAGATTCCTGTGGGTAGCGTCGAACCATCCAACCTTCCATCAGCGTGGCCTCTGCTTATAACTTCGAAGATAACGACTAGGGACTGGTGCACTTTTGCTACCTATGTTTAGCTGAACTCCCTTTACCACACCTGGCCTTTCCTGATCAAACACATTGACAAGGGTAGCTAACGTCTACGAAGTAAAAAGATTATTGGCAAACTTGACCGGGTTAGCGTATACAACCAGATTTACGTAGATTACATAGACCGTTAAGACTGCTATATTAACCACGCTTGGGTGTGAATTTTGTGTATGCCATTTCGTCTCAGTAATCCAGCACAAATGTTTTGGCGTTCCATCGACTAAATCTGACTTGGGTTAGAATCCGACTATGTTTGTCTGTGCGACAAATTAGCCGGCAGATCCCCACAGGAAAAAGTTTCATCGTTTATGCCAACGTGGGTTAACGGTGAGCAATGAAATCGTTCGTTGGATATAGAATTGGTCAAAAGTACCTGCTCATTTATCTCTCCCACAGACTTCGAAGCACTGCAGAACAAAGCAAATCAGTCATCGATTATCCTGTGAACCATTCGTTAAAACAGTTTGGAGGTTTGGATGAATTAGATCCCTTATATAACCGCTGCAGAACAGACTGCGCATTGTTTATGTAGCCCCTCACGGATCTTCTCCTACAAAAGCACGCACTTTAAGTTCACTGTCACAATGCATACCACATTCATATCATTATATGAAGCTTCCATCATCATGTTTTCCGTAGCCTACTACTGCCCTGCAGTCCTGCTATCTTTCAGTCCGACTCCTTGGACCTGGCGGCCGGTATGTGAAGCAACGACAACACATAAACACCTGCAACCTACTGAATCTCGAACCCTTACGTCCGTCGAAGGGCTGACATTCGTCTGTCCAACAATAAGTTAGTATATAGTTTAAGACTAATATTGTGCCCTGTTCACCAACCACCAAGCACTAAGTTATGCGCTTTGTTCTACGACTGGTTGGTATTCAATTCGGGACCTCTGTCACATAAGTTATATCTTAAAGGAGCCAAAATTCTTCTTCTAAATATTGTGTGATTTTCGTTTGACATTCCTTTTGGTTTTTCTATGTGTACTATGTTGCACGTTCTTATTTATCCGAATACATTTTTGAGCAAATTTCCACCCCAAAGCACGCACGCAATGATCACCCTCGCCATGGTGGAACGAACATGAAACCTGAAGACCCTTTTAGTAGGTGGGTTGCTTGGTAGCAGAGAAAGTTGTGACTAGGAAGGGACCACTCCCAAACGCAACATCTGACAGTAGCAAAGCTTGAGGTCCTGTCGAGCTATTCACTGGGAAACTAGTTTTTCTTCATTCCGATAACATCAGACCAACAGCTGTGCTATAGTGCATCCCATCTTGGATGTAGTTAAGTTTCAAGATACAACGGCCCAATGGACCCAGTTTATTGATGCAAATTTGTCGGTAAGAACGTCACCACTCATGATCATGAGGCTTGATCGTTCTACATGGATGTCCACTCAGCATTCTGGCAGGTGGAGCTCTGTAATGACCCAAAGAATAGTTCCGGTCTTCGGTGTAGATGTTCATTATGGTTTGTCTGTAATTAATTTATGCTGGTGTTCACCCCTTCCACTCTACATCCCCTTCCGATTACATCCAATTGTCGTTTGTTTACTCAGTGAACTGGTTTGCTGAACTTCTGCTCGTGTTTCTTTTTTCTGTTAACTTTCGACTGTAGGGATAATAATAATAATAGGTATATTTCTCGTCAAATCAGAAGCTGCGTCCATATCGGCATAAATCATATATGCACAGGTAATATCATGCTCTTGCATAGGCAATGGAAAGTGAAATTTTTATATTGTCTAAGTGTCTGGCAAAGTGTGCGTCTCATATGTTTGTGTTTAATGCGAAAGTAGTCCACCATGCTGTACCCCATTCACCTTCTGGTGTTGACAGTTTCTTACACACCACCTGCAGGATTGCTATTTACTAGTGGTGTAAGAGGGGGCTGTCTGACTGTCATCGAGGCAGAGACTTTTTAGTGTTCACTGAAGCGACAAACTTAATTTACACTTTCCAGTTAACAAACATTAGGCATATCAGTAAAAGATAACGCTTAGG